CGAAGTTGTAGCAGTGCATTGCTTTAAGCCCGTCCCAATCATACAGTATGTTGCACATTAGTAGCTTTCATGACAAATGCTTCCTTTGAGGACACCAGATACATCGATACTTGTGGAGACTCTCAGCAATATCACCTTGATATGTGCATACATGTATATAAGTATTTGTTACAGACGACTAGGAAATTAAGTTTTCCTTGAAAATTTATTAAGTGAAGAGTAGTTAATATTACAGCAACTACTTTTTAGTCAATTTAGTAGAGTTAAAGGGTAGGGGAACAATTAGTGATAAAATTTTATAGAATACTATTGAAGAAAACAGCTGGTTAACAGAATTAGTTGTCATCAGACGGAGTTGTTACTGTGCATCAGTGATGTTAAAATTCCTTGTAAAGTCTTAATTACAGTAGGAGGTGTGAAACAAGTTAGGTAAATGAGACATATTTCCCAAATGACGGAGTATTATTCTGGATAAGAGCGTTGTAAAAATTTCATAATACTCACAAGATTTTACAGCTGTAAAGGAATTTGAGTTGATTGATCGATGAGATAACAGTGGAGAGACAACCTTGTTTCGCAGCACTTATTTAATAGTAACCGTTCTGTAACACATCTTTTGCTTTTTTTATTTTCCAGATTACGATCGCCACTTTCGTAATCCTTCAACTTATTTATAGGCTTTCATGAAGCATAAGCAGAGGATATATGTGAGAATGATGAGACATTTGTGATATTGTGAATGTATTAGTAGAAATAAATGTTTCTAAAAAGTTTACAAGACATTTATACATTAATAATACTTATTGTCTATCAAAGTGATAAGTGATGAGAATTTGGAAGACGTAATATGCGTAAAAAAGTCATAATTACATGTAATTGTGTAACGACAAAAGACAAGAGTCAGGCAACATAACCTTTATTGAGGAAATCAACATGTATTTATATATATTTCATGTACATTATTATAGCTTATTCAAGCAGACAAACACAGCCTTCTGATTGGTTGTTTCTTACCGAAAGTTGACTTTGCATCTTTTTGTGACTGTTTCTTGAATGTCAGATAATCTATACGCCAAGTCTACTGGGATTGGTGGTTGAATCAGTCTTGTTCATATTTTCTCACCACCAATATTTGCGACATACCCATTGACGTAAAATGCTGTCTACCATTTTTGGTTAACCTGCTCTCACCACAATTGAAGTGGGTGTAATGAGGCACTTTTATTTATCTTTTTATTCCTTTCCGTTCCCAGTGGAACATAGGGCTTCAGGCTACAGGCTACAGGCTTGAAGTTACGTTAGCATTTGTATTTATTTCTACGGAATGGGGTTGCTAGCCTCGTGCCCAGACCAACCTCCCCTCCTTGCCAGTCCTATTACTGGATTAGCTAGGTAAAGGAGTGAGTTGGCCGGGGTTCGAGCCCCGGACCATCTGTATGGCTGGCGAGCATTCTACCACTGTGCCACTGACGCACCGAGATACTTTTATTACTTTTCTGTAATTATTTTTACTGGTAGACTGTAAAAAGATGATGTGCACACCAGAAGGCTGTGTTAAAAGTTATAGTATTTTACGATAGTAATATAATCAATGAAGCTGAGTAACGTGATCAACTAATAAACAGGTTAAGTTACAATCTGATCATGTAACAGCCAATTCATACTAAATGCTAACACAAGAAGAGTTATGTAGTCGTCATTTTATTACCTAAAGACTTCTTCTAATACAGTGCAGTTATATGCAACATAAGAATAATAGACTACTTGTGATAAATAGGCTATGCGTTTGATAGTGCGCTTTAAGTGCCAAGACTAATTGTACAAATCGTGTACGTACACACTCTACGTTTGCTAGGTTACATGTCGTTATTACAGTACAAATACATGTTCGACGGTTATTTTCTTCTCAACAATAATGCATAATAATACCATGCTCAACCGGATTAAGTGTAACTGAAACATTTCATGCCAGGCTTGATGACGCACTGGGGAAATAATAACAGTTTACAACTTTGATGCATTTCACATAAGTATTATTAGGTTGCCTATCATTCATATTAATTATGCACTGTCCTCGAAATGTCATAGATTTTTTCGGAGTTCTAATCATGAATCTTGTCTTAAATTTGCATCTTTGAACTAATACGATTGTGGTTAACTTATGCGCAAAATCAGTGCATACAAGAGATGGAATCAATCTTAAGTATTTCTGACTTCCTTAAATAGTGATGTAAAGTGCAGGAATTTTGAGACAGTATCACAAAATGTGAGAGATAGATAGTACAATGGGTCAAAATCGATTGCGGTACTGCGAAAATATTAGCTACTATAGAAATGGCAGTCTTCATATTAGTTTTCATTCACTTATTTTCTTCTACTTATATCGTTGTTATCTGGTACAAAATCAGTGTTTTTGTCCCCTTTCTCTTATGACTTTGTGGCATGTGCTACTGAAAAGACTTATAAGTAGTATATATTTACTGAGATAAATGTATATGTCATCTGCTGAATATTGAATAACGGAGATGGATTAAGTGGTGAAGAGAAGAAATGATGAATGATGCTTGTGAAACAACATGGAAAACATAAAAGGAAAACAAAGAAGCACAGTATGGAAGACAAAAGTGGTACAATATCGAAGACATGTGCAAATTGGGACTCTAATATGTGGTAGAAGTACTTTGCCAACATCTGTTAATCAAGTTGCTAATAGATGATTTCGTCATTAGATACTCTCGGGTTATAGCTTTATAAGCTGTTATGGATTTTAGAGACTTGTGTTAATGTTTTTTTTTCTACAGACTCCTATGTCAATCTGTCTGTTTATTAATCTATGACTGGCTTATACCAACCTGTTTACATAGTCAGTTTTTTTATAATAGCTTGATTCGACACAGTATTTTTGGTACAAATATGGCATTTTCAGCATGTGATATCGGTAACCAAAATTCAGCAGGCTGACCAGTGATATCAAGTGTGCGTCGGCCAGGGATCGAATCTCGGACCATATGCATGGTTGGCGAGCGTCCTAACTGCTGTACCACCGATGCAGTATATAGGCTATTGGTCATTGGTGGCACAGTGGTAGAATGCTCACCAGCCACGCATGTGGTTCAGGGTTCACTCCTCGGCCGACGCACTCCTTTACCTCGCTAAGCCAGTAATAAGACGTGTAAAGAGTTAAGGCTGGGCTGGGCATGAAGCTTGCAACCTCACCCATTAAAAATAAAAATACCACTTCTACAGAAACTTCAAGCCTTTAGATTGAAGTCCTATGTTCCACTAAGAATGTAAAGATAAAAATAATGATAGGCTTTTGGTACGAAACCCTCAGCGACATTTGAGACAAAAATGCCGTTTAATAAAAACAATAATAAGTTCTTGCTGTACTTTCACAAATCTTCCGACGTTATGCATGCCTTTTAGTGTTGTCGAATATGAGGTGAATACAATGGATAAAGTACTTGGAAACGCCTGAATGATCGAGTACATCAGTCTACATGGTCTGAATTTTGTGTAAAGAAATGAAGAACTACATAAATGTTTGCATAATAATTTTCACTAATAATAGTTGGAATCAACCACCTTGAAATTGATTATAAGTAATAAAATTGTGCCTGAAATTCTACCCAGTAAATAATTCTGTATCACTGTGTCATATCAAATATATTTATATAATATGACACAAACAAATTTGCAATGAATTTTGATTCATAATGTAAACAAGTTATTCTGCTTTTGACAAACGACATAACTGTTTAATCCTGAGTATATTTATCGAAATTTATGGATCGGCTGGCTAACCGCTTAGGATTAGATAAATACGTTGGTTTTCAGTTTACATTCAGACTGTATGCAGGAATGACTCCTTTAGAATTAATAGCTTCAACCTTTATGGAGTTAAAATATGTTATATGACGAGAGTGCTTGTCTTTTTTTTCAAATGCCACCTCACACATGTTCATTTTAAAGGATGTTAATCACAGGTATTAACTGAATCCTGGAGACTAAAATAGATGTTATTTGTTTGAAATGATCGATTCAGAAAAGATCAACAACAGGGATCTCTGGAAGCGAACCAACCCAGCAGGAACCGATTGTGCAAGAAATATGCAAGAGTAAATGGAGGTGGATTGGTCATACTCTAAGAAAACAAACTATCAAGTGAGTGACATCACACACCAGGCCGTCACTCGAGTGGAACCCAGATGAGAAGCGGAGAGTTGGTCGTCAGTGCGACAGTGACATGGAGGAGGTCATGTGAAGAGGAGATGCAAGCATGTCGGCAGAGCTGGAGCTAGGTGAAAAAGTTGGCAGAGGACTGAACGCAATGGAGATGTGCCGCTGAGGCTCTATGTTCCTCTAGGAACTAAAAGAAACAATAATAATGGTTTGAGAAACGATTGTTGCAAATTTAAGTCTTTATTTTACTAAATATACATTCCCTGAAGACTGCAGAAACATCTTAATGATGGACATTAACACGCAGAAACCTTTAGCTTTGGCAAAACATCTACCAACATACCGACTAACTAGTTGTGGTCCATTGTTTTGTTAAATTATTATTTTTACGGGTCATTAGTCAGTTGAGATGGATGGACGGATAGATCAAGTGATAGTCTTCTTTTAATTTATTATTCTTCAGTCCCTGTTATGTTCTACTTCCGTCAGTAGTCGAGGTGAGATCGTGTTAACATTCTAAGGCATCCTGAAGGGCATAATACTTAATCATCGTTTAAAAAGATAAATCATAAAAAGAGAACAAGTATGATTATTCTCATGGAAATGAAGTAAGTTGCCTTGGTCATATACCTTTAGCTTCAAGTGATTCGATTTCCTGATTACTCTATTGATAATCTACCTATGGACAGATTCATTGACACAATAAGAAAGCTTATAGAATTATTAAAAACTTTTTTCAGGCAAAATACAACAAATATGTAAAAAGCAGATTGAAAAATAAGCAAGTTTATTTGCAGGCTTCACTTTTTTCTCCTTCATTATGCACAAGTATTTCTTCTAGATAAATGGGTTTCACGTTTTTGTTGAGCTTTCCACATTACTTCTAACTTTTCACCAACTTTATCTAGGAATACTTCATGAGGATCACGAAATTGAAGTCGATGTCTCTATTTAAACAAAAATAAGTATTAAGTGATAATAAATAATGAATTTTTTCTTTTATTACCGTAAAGCACTTCTCTCTGTTGGGATATGGTTCTCTTGGAAGGTATAGATTTTTCTCCCATTTCTCACCTTGTTTCAGTGGTTTCAGGAAAGAGTGTGGAAGTTTGCGTAAGATTATCTCATCACAATTGGTACCCCATACTGTGGTTTATAATTAAGAATATAAGTATTTATATATGTATAACTGTGCTTACTTTGTTGTCTTGTTTTTTTCAAGAAATTTATATTCATTGGGTCTCTTTCATAAATTGTAATAAATTCAGGAAGTGTACGTTCATTTGTTGGTGTTAGCTAAAAGAATAGATAGAATTCTGTTTCGTTTATCTGCCACTTTGGAAACATTGAAGACTGTAAATATTCAGTGTTAATATCTTAAAATAACATTAGATTAATTATTTTTTTTTAACTGAATTTAAATATAATTTTAAACCACACTGTTTAAAAAAAACTCCCTCATTTAATTCTTTGGTCTTATCAGAATGATTAACAGATAAAATTAAACTTCTTTTCCTTCCTAATAGGCGAATAACTTAAGATCAGATCATTATTAAAAGCGTCTACTAGAAATGGCCTAGTTACTGTTGGAATTAGTGACTATTTATTGAACTAAAATAAAGCTCAAAAACTACTATGTTATATTTACTAAGTGCTTGTTGACCTTCGGACAGATATCGGCTGCCTATTTACTGTTTAATAATTGACTCAGTGAAAAAATAAAACAACTGATTAACCCTTAATCTATGCACACTTAGGCCTTTTGATATTCAGTTTGTCTTCCAAAGTATTCATCATTTGAATAAAGTGCTTCAAGCTTCTTGGATTAATTTCGTTTTTTTTCAAGTATTGGTTTTGTAGGGATTTTGTTTGCTTGGATGGCCATTGGATCGAGTCCTTGTGGCTCAATAGTCTACGAGCTCTTCAACCTTGTAACCAGAAGGTCCTGGGTTCGAACCCCGATGGGTGTGTACTGCTGAAGAGTCCCAAACTAGGAAGAAACCGCTGTCCAATACTCCTAGGTTTTCGAGTGGGTTTCTAACTGGTGTCAGCTCATGATGAAATCATTCATACAATCAAACAAAATCCCTACAAAACCAATACTTGAAAATTAATCCGATGCTCACTAGCGACTGGCCCTATTCAGGCAGTTAGCCTGGGGTTCTAGTGGGAATCCGTGACCAGTAGGGTACAATAGGTTGAAGATGAGGCAGTAACTACATCGAAGAAGACATTGCGAAATGGTCAGGCTATGTCGTGAATTGGCAGAAGTTAGAATTCATGCCCTGGCCGTTAGATCGCGTCCCACTGGCTTAATTTCGTTAGTACCTGTGGTTACATTTTAATACAGTATAAACGCCTGAGAAATATTCCAGTGTATTTTACTGATAATATAACAAATACATCGTCAGAGCATCTGTTTCACTCAACTTTGTGCATTTATCTGCATGACAGTGAATACGACTTTCTGTTTCTTACCTAAGTGTAGTGCATTTATACACTGATGAAGCTTTTCAAAGCTCAAAGGTACAAGAGTTAGTAAATATATTTTTCTGTTTTAAAAGAATATTTCATTTTGGATAACTATAAATGATAGGGACAGTGATATTATTTACTGCTTTCCTTATCATGTGCGTTAAAAATTTTCTGATAACTATATAAAATATTTCATAGACTTTAATTGGTGGATGGTGACTAGCAGTGGAATCCAGGATGCGCGTTTCGTCCTATTTGGGACTCGTCACTGGATGTACCTGCATTTCCCAGTGAGTGATGATGTTCCCACCAAGGCTCAAACCCAGTACCCATAGTTTCAAACGCCAAAGCGTTACCTACTAGACCACTTGGGCCGTGAGAGCCACCTCTTGTGCAACGGGTCATATAAATTATTGAATTGAATTTTAGATTTTCCCGTCGATTGATAGGACCGAAGTGGTCGGTCTCAGGTTGACATGTCGGCTTCTTGTGCAGATGCTTCAACGATGTCTGGGCATTTAATTAGTATTTAATTGGTCGACGGAAAAATCTCAAAACCAGTTAAAATTAATATGACCCGTTGCACAAGAGGTGGCTCTCACGGCCCAAGTGGTCAAGTGGATAACACTTTGGAGTTTGAAACTATGGGGACTGGGTTAGAGTCTTGGTAGGAACATCACCACTCACTGAGAAATGCAGGTACATCGAGATGACGAGTCCCAAATAGGACGAAATGCGTCTTATCCTGGATTCCACTGCTAGTCACCATCCACAGATTAAATTCTAATTGAATGCCCAGACTTCATCGAAGCATCTTCACAAGAAGCCGACATGTCAACCTGAGACCGAGCACTTCGGTCCAGTCAATCGACGGGAAAATATATATATATATATATAAGCTATCAAATGAACTGGAATATGTATTGGCAAATTAATTTAGATGTCTGCAAAATATACTGCCAAAGACGAAAGCTACCAGCAACTACATCTAGAAAACGAATGTATGTAAACTGAAATATATGGTCGCCTTAAGGCCATAAGTGAAGCACAAGAGTATAAAGTAATAACTGAAATGACTAATTGGAAATCACGTGATCCTCTCATGTAGGTTATTGACGATCTAAACACAACCTTTTTGTTTAAAGTCAACCCCATAATTACATTTATGTCAGTATCGAGGCAGTTCAACTGTCCCTCTGACAACTAAGTACAGTTAGTTGACATCTTCGGTTTCTTAAATTTCATATAGCTAGACGGTACATTCTATGCAAAATATCTTGGTAATGAAACCTTTTAAATAAACTGTAAATCTCTGTATGACGGTGGAATATGATGGTAAGCAACTTTGTAAAATTTGATTAACAAAAGTGAATTAGGAACGTCAACTTACTCCACGAAAATCATGTGGTTTAGGCATTTTGTATGGACCTGGTTTAAAAGAACCACATTTGACAAATAAAATCTTCGCAGTGAAAGGTCTAATAGATCTTGAAAATTTTAACTTTGGATAAATATCCTTCTCCAGTGCATAGTTTAGTTCTACATCCCACTTCTGACTATCATAACTTTCTTTCGCATAAGATATTTTCAGCTTTGGTTTCATGGATTCACGACTGTTTCTCACAGGAGGGCATGGTTTCCATCTGTGCAAACTGAAGTCTGGTGCAAGTGTATTCCATACAGAATCTTGTGAAGAACTCGAAAAATGTATTTTATGTGTACTACGCCTATGATTGAATGCAGCTTTTGCCTCTAAAAATGACTGAAGTGGAAAGGTGAAACAAGTGGAGCCTATCACAGATGTATCGGTCATACTGACAGCATGCAGTTAAATAGTTTTTTTTATAACAGATTTGATTAACTCCACTACAGTTTAAGTTGAAGTGAGTAATGATTTCATTTTTAAATAATTGGATTGTCCTTAACTAACCTTTTGTCAGTTCACATAAACAAGCAAACTGATCGATAAAACAATTACTTTACGGTACTTACATATACCGTTTAATAGTAATATCGTTTATTGAAGCTTTAAAGTAATTATTACTGTCATTAAGAAAAAGAACAGACCAAAAAAGAAATCGACTATCCAGCTCCATTAAATGATAAAGTTGGGACAGAAATCTCATCCTCCTAACTGTCTTTTATTGAATGGATGTATCAGAAAACAGGATTACAATAAAATAGCAATACCAAGAATTTTGTTTACAGTAAATTCTTTGGATTTTATCTGTTGATTATTATGTAATTAGGATAAATCAATAGATTAGTTGAATATGAAAAAACAGATGAAAGAAAGAAAACTGTGCACATCTTAAGAATTATTTATTTATTTTTTGATTACAGCTTGATTCCACACTGTATTTTTGGTACAAGTATGGAATTTTCAGCATGGATATCGGTAGCCCAAATTCTTCAGGCCGACCATAGATGACAGGTGTGCGTCGGCAGGGGATCGAATCTCGGACCATGTGCATGGTCGGCGAGAGTCCTAACCACTGTGCCACCCAATTCAAAATTGAAACTAGATCAGTTGTGTTCTATAAACTAACTCCTAAATTTTAACACTAGTTACAAGATATCATAGTATTGTATTATGTACAGTAATAACCACATATCAGTACTACTCAGTGAATGCCGATTGAAAATTACGACTGAATCCATATAAATGATGATTACGTCATCAAATAAGATAAGGAGTTAATGCTTGTTCTATGTACTGGTGGGGAGAATGTGAAGTTATGGTGACTGACAATTTCTATCTCTGTATTGTTTAAATACTTACTGTTGTTTGTTAATATATTTCTTATATGAATTGAATAATAATTCCGCCAAATACAAATTCCTAGAATCTTCCCTCTCTGTGTTTTGGTTGAATTCCGTTAATTCGGTCATTGCGAAATACAAATACTACTATTACAAATAATTACAACAGAAGTAGTAATAACTTCAATAGTGTAGCCTTTAGTATAAATAAAGATAACAGTCAGTGGAGCTGATGTACCGTAACGTCAAAAGGATGATCTTTAACATGGATACCACACAAATTTGCATCAGTATTTGTTATAATGACAAAATACAATCAATTAGAGTTACAAAGGAGTCATTATTTGCTTGAATGGCAGACAGCTTTTTAGTAATTGTGTCTATTTCAAGACAGACCACTTTTATTTAAATTCTGATAACTTAATTTAAAGAGAATTCGGCATTCATTTTATCCTTTCTGCTTTAGCTAATTCTAATGAGTGTATGTAACTAGCATTATTCCTTATTTAACGGTTCTTAGTCAATTAATTACCTCATATTTGTTTTTTTTCAAGTGTTTGAGTTATAATAGAAGGCACAAAAGTGTATGTACTGTAACTCAAGGAACTGTTTGGTTTTTTCATACACATGAAGTCACATATCTTAAACTGTTGAAACTTGACTTCGTAGTCTTTGAGGAAAATTATCAGGGTACTAAAATATGATTCCGTTTATGATACTACGTTTCCACGTTCTATGATATGCTAACATTGTTCATGGTCAGAGGTGAACAGCGTTGTATTAAGAAGCACAAATGAAAACTTGAAAAGATGTATTTTTAACGAAATCGAATTTCGAAAAGCGCGAAACGAATGAAAAAGTATACAGCCGCGTAAAATATACGCTTAACAAAACGAAAAGCAATGTTCAATAATGAAGTCGCAGATATTTCACAAGCATATGTAAAATTAGTTTCTGTAAGTGTACAACATGCGTACATGAATTAGTTTAATAAACGCACAGTTAAAGTAATCATAGGGACCCTGCAAATTCATCACATTATGTTATCATGCAAAACAATAGACTTCAATCTTCGCTTACCATGGACTACATGACCTATTTAAATATGATTGGTCATCAGTATGTACTTTTGTTTTTTATTTAACTGAGTAATTGTCATGATCTTTATTTTATTGTTGTTAACCATGTTAGTTGTAAAGAAACTACGAAATGATATCATCTGGCGAAATTTGTCTTCTTAATGCCTTATTCAAAAAATTATTACTTTCGTAAAGAATGACGAAATCTCGTTAAAGCGAGTAAACTCTACTTGCTTACAAATCATATTGTATTTCTTATTTTCGTCAAAAACAGTAAGTTGTGAGAAAAATTTGACTTAGAATGACATGCAGGACAATTTAAATGATAACCTTCATTCACACTTTGGCTCAACTTATTTTTCGTTTAGTTTATTCACTTTGTATATCCTTCCCTTGTTATGTTGGTTATGACTATTATTATTCTCACTCTGAACTGTTTCTGGTAATATTTCACCTGTTCCGCTTGTCATTCGAAATCATTTTTTGAATTTCCAGTGCTAGCAAAATTTCGCACCATGTTATGTAACAACTTCATTTGCCCAACAAAAACACTAAACCCCTATAATTCAGTGAAACTGTATATTATGTTTTTCGATTTTGACCACCGATTGATATCAGTTAGAGAACCATCGGTAACCAGGCAGTACTGAACAGCTGGTTCATCCCCCTAGTTTGGGAATCATCGGGAGCACGCAGCCACTGCCAGGGGTTAAATCCAGGACCTTCTGGTGACAAGGCAAGCTCGTATACCATTCAGCCACTGGGACCCGATTCAATGTCCCATGAATTCTAACTTCTACCAATTGGTGATGCATTTAGCGCTACCACCAGGCAATGTCATCGGTGGGGACTTGATTCCCACTCCCGACTGGATGAACCTCACTGGTAACTACTTCTCACTAGAACTCCAGGAAACTTCGTCCTGTAGCAAGTCACTAGCGAGAATCAGATTAATTTTCTAGAGTTGTTTTGTAAGGATTAGATTTGGTTTTAGAGTGTGACCACCGATTAATATTAGTTAGAGAACCGTTGAAAACAAAGAGGGATTACTAGATAGCTGTTTCATTCTAGTTTGAGAATTATCCTCAGTACGCACCCAGTGGGGTTGGAACCCAGGCCCCGATATAAATCCGTGCTTAAACGCGACAAAAACGAATCTAATCCTTACAAAACAACTCTTGTATATCATGTGTCAAAATAAGTTCAGACTATTTATGGGGTAACACATGGTGTGTTAATTCATTCTCCATGCCAATTTGTAAAGTAATCGTAGAAATTAATGTTAATCAAGTGTAATTTTACCGAAGGATTTTCATACCTACGTCATGTACCTATTTTAGGACACTGTTGGAAATAATCAATAACATTCTTATGAACTGTCGTCGAGATTTGACTGAATAGTTCTAAAATAATTGGGCACTGAGTAAGAAGTAGACATTTGTAAAAATCACATTTGTAAAATCTCAACGAGATATGAAAAGTACACTCTGTTTAAAGTGTTTAACAAAAGCAGACCAATATTCGATCACAGCTCATATAATTTTATTTAGATAAAGCAATAAGAAGCTGTCATTTGTCTGAATCGTGTAATGTATCTGCGTAACACATTTCGAACAATCTGATCACACACGGACTTGTCATAGGAATATATATATATATATACGAACGAAACGTTGGAATTACTAATTTCAATCTCACTGAGATTTTACAAATATAACTTTTACAAATCAATAACATGTTCTGAAAATTTAACCTCAAGTAATATTTTTCTTTACTTCACATTCAACAAGTTACAGATCTTGCGCTGTTAGATGTTGAATCAAAATCACAATATTTGATTCCTCTTCATATAACTAAGAATATGTCAGGAATGTAAATCGATATGCTCATAAACTCGTGACAAATGAAACCTAAAGTCAGATAAACCTAAATTGCTTTGACATACTTGCAAATTTTACATGCTGTATCTACAAATTCAACTGCGCATGTGGAGCGAGTTATATCGGCCGTTGCTCAAGGAATTTGATTTTTCGTGCTCAAGAACATCTCCCAGAATGGATAAGTAAAGGTGTAGTCGATATGTATCCATATATATATATATACATGTGTATGGTGGTCTCTCTTTCTGTTGCTCTCTTAGTCTGTGACCATTTCACTTTGATGAACCTGTCTCCTTTAACAATGTATATTCCCCTTATATTTTATATAATATGAGTGTTTGTTGACAGTCCGTTGCTTGGTGACATATATCCATATTATATGTGTGGTTGTTGACATGTCTGCTATATTTAGCTATGTATATATGGATCGACACTCCATTATAATTAGCCATTCATGTTAAGACTGTCTATTGATTTGTTCACACACTTGTCTGGACATTCATATATATTTCGCTCTCACAATCTTGTGTGACTCTTCTTTTGGTGTGATACCACTTATTGCTTCTCCTTGTGTTTGGAAAATAGAAGTATCATCGCAAACCTAGTAGTCTTCTGATTTCCGCCTTCTTGCGTCAGGACTATTACATTCTTGACCGGTACATAACAATAATTTGGCGACGAGTACATAACAATTTGGCGACGGGGAAAACTATGGATCCTTCTAAATTGGAATTACTATTTGAACGACAAATGAAATTAATGGAAATGTTCGTCAACCAACAGACTGGTCCAGCTTCACCTTCAAGCAATCCCAATCATACCATGCTACCATCTGTCGACGGAATTGTGAATAGTATTTCACAGTTCAATTATAATCCAGATGCGAATGTCACTTTTGACACATGGTATCAACGATATGAGGATTTATTCACAGTTGATCTCGCCTCACAAGACGATGCTTGGAAGGTGCGAGTGTTGTTACGTAAATTGGGTCCCGCAGAATATGAACGGTACTGCAACCTAATTTTACCCCAGAAACCACGTGACAAGTGTTTCGATGATACAATAAAGCTGCTGCGTGAACATTTTGG